GGTTTAGGGCTTAGGGTTTATGTTTAGGGTTTAGGGTTTATGTTTAGGGTTTAGGGTTTGGGGTTTATGTTTAGGGTTTAGGGTTGGGGGTTCAGCCCTGTAAGGCCTGTAGGCAGAAGGCATTCCACAAGACACAAAGCCCACTCAAGCCTTAAACCCTGTTTCCACCGAAATCCTGAACCGCAAGTCAGCCAAATAGTAGCTGAATGAGCACACTTCAAGCCTCTTGGGATCACATGATCCCTTGTAGAACTGAAAGTGTTGTATCTTCCCCTTCCCCCCCCCTCCCCCCAAATCAACGACGCCTTCCTGTCGCGCGTCTTTGCAGCATCTTCTCTTCGGCCCCTTCCTTCCTCTGCCCTTTTTCTTAAAGGCGCCTCTGGAGCTCTGCGACCGAGCGCTGACGAACGTGGCAGCGTTGATGTGGATCGGGCCTCGGAAGGGATTTTTTGGGGGTTTAGGGTTTAGGGTTGGTCTGGGGAGTGTTTGGTTAAGAGGCCGCATGTTGACACATCAGACCTATCATACGTCGCGATAAGGATAGTCTGCTATTTTTTTGGTACCAAACTGGACTAGACTGATACCGTACTCTGTTGTTAGTAGACAAAAAAGTAGACCAGACTCTTCTATGTAGGCCATGTAGGCTAAACTCGATTCGATTGAAGCCTCAGGTGCTCGTCGAGGCTTCCTGCTGTAACAGGTCGGGCATAAGGAGGATGATGGCTATTCTGGACCCCAGATCCTAGAGTCCCTCCCTCTCTTCCGACACAATCTAGCCTAGGGCCTAGAGATGCTAGAAGGAACCGAAGAATGCTCATGAAGAGACTGAGGAGAAAGAAGCGGGGCAGAGGAGTTCCTGCCTGTTGGTTATCCCTCCCCTCCGATCTGTCGACCCGCCTTGACGAGAAAAAAGAAAAGCATCAGTCTGAATGTTCCCTGCTCTTCGGGGCTGATCCCAGAAGCAAGGCAGGGCTTCAGAGTTTGTCCCGAGGCCCTATACGCCGGAGTATGAAGATGACAAGGCTTTCGCAGTTTTCCAGCGCACCAGTGGATTGGCCTGGAGCCCGGCTTCGTTCGAAAGGCAGCAGCAAATTACCAGTTCGCTACACAATGGTAGCAAGGCTCTAGCTGAGCAATAATGACTCTGACATTGTTCGTAGCATGCTTGCTGGATGTAGGCAGCTATGCGGTAGTAGAGGTCTAGCTCTATTGCCAGTCAATTGCAGCAACGGTGCGGACAAATACTGTAGCTGCAATTATGAAGTCGTGGCTTGAATTCAACAAAAAGGTGATGAAAGTAAGCGTGATACGAGATGCGACAGCAGTAGACGTGACACCGCTGAACACGGATTGATGAGTAACTAGTACTAGTACAAACAGCTGCAACAGATCAGTTCCAGGTCCTTCTGTTGCAGTGGTGGTCCTAGAACTCGTGGCAGCAATGGGACTTTTGTACTCGTTCTCGGAACTCGGTGGTAATGAGTACCGTCGTCGGAGTTTACGAGACAAGGCAGTGTAGAAGGGATCCTTATATACTAGAATATACTAGAATATACTATAATATACTATAATATACTATAGTATACTTCTGTATGTTGGGCACACAAGTCACATCATGTCGCCTGCGTGTCTGCGAACTGCGCAACGCTTAGGTGAGATCCTCCATCAATCCCGGAGACGAAGGCCGCCTCTCTTGAAAGGTCGCCGTAGAGCAGCTCTCCACCACCCTCTCTCCGAAATCCTAGGCAGGATCCCTAAACCCACAAAAAACCCTAAACCCTAAATTTGCCCAGGAAACAGGTGCTCAAAAAAGAAGACTTTAAACCCTATAAATCCTAAACCAAAACACCGCTAAGAACTCACCCCCCCCGCTTCGTACTTCAGACTCCAATCTCCCGAGAGGTGTTCGCAGCCGGACCTTCGGTCAGGCAGCGAAGGGCGGATAACCCCTCCCCCGACTTCGGATCTTCACGACGGTAGGGTTTGCAGGGTTTAGGGTTCGGGGTTTAGGGTTTAGAGTTTGAGATATCTGGGACCGTTTAGGATTTCGAAGACTCCCTCGGAGCTTCGTCTCGCAATCAAAGGTTTCTGGGTCAATTGGATGCTTGTCTGATGGGAGATGCGTTGGAGTTATATCATCCCCCACACGTGCATGAATAGCTATGACATATACATATACATATATGTATGTAGAGGTTACCCTCCTACAAAGCTTCTTCGAAGATTCTTTTTGACCTCATCAGAATCCGCGAAATACTCTCGGACCCTCAATCCCTCCAACTACAAGGCCATGCAACAAGCCATCCAAACACACAAAGAACCCCTCCGAACAAATAACCATTCTTAGTGTTGCCTCTAACCCCTTTACTAAGCATACCAAACAGTGCCTACTCCGAACACCAATACTCATGCTATCTGTTGGCACACCCCTTGTACGACTAATCATAGGCTTCGCCTATAGTACCCTTCGAAGCACAAATAGTCTTGCTAAACATTGTCATACCCTCTGTACTACAAAACAAAGCCTATATGGCCTATAACCCCTCCCACACAACTACCAAAACAAACAACCATGCTAAGTATTGCCTGTTCTCCTTGTAATAGTAGTCCTGCTGCGTTTCCGTGCTACAGCCGTCATCACAATGTGTATAATCATCGTTTTTTGTCTAACAGAACCCTCTCAAAATCTGTATCATCATCGTTATGTCCCCACCGCAATGGGTATTGTTGTTAGAACGCACATCATGCAAACGCTCATGAGCAGATTAAGTATGGCTTAGAAGCCTTTTGCTATCAGCCAAATACCAGAGTCGTGCTAAGTTTTGCTTGTAATCCTTTCACAACTACACCAAAGCATCGGTATGGACTACGCTGCCTTACGTAGTCTGTGGTGTCTGGCACGCCCACTTCAATGAGCGCGCAATTTCTCGTACCACCTGCATCATATGAACCTATTCCACTACCTTCAAGCATTATTGGTTTCGAACTGTTATCCAAGCCATTTAAGCAACGACACCACAATACAGCATCAAAGCAACAACCAATATCCTTGTATATGACATCTCTCATTACCATTGCACGAGATCCGGTATCATGTTGAAGAGCACATCCTCTTAGAGTTTTCTTAACAGTATGAGTTCAATGTACTCGCAACTCAACAAATACATACACAGAGTCCCAGAATGTAGCTCAACTATTGACCAGAACACTTAGATTCGGATATTGCAGGAAATAGCTTCGATTTTTGTCATCAGTGAAGGCTTTATTGAAGCCGTGATTGATGAGCTTCACTTTGGATTGCAATGTAAAAACCAACAAACACATTACATATTTGCCACGGTGCACTAGTCTCTCTGGGTATAATACTTCACACAAGCTGCATATTCCAAGCAGCTAAATGCAATGTGATGGTGACGTTTCATCATCATATCGCGCTTGCTGGTGTGTTGTGTGTGTGTGATACGTGAAGAATATGTTATACATGTAGCCTAGAACGTGCGACCCTTTCTATTGTTTTGCTCTATCGCATTCCTTCGCACGTGAGTGCATGCACGCGCATCTGTCTGCTTGTACAGGACGAGCAGAGCGAGCTCGACATGCACATCGGCTTCGTAGATGGGAAGCGCACCTGGCGGGATTGTAAGGGGACCCCCCAGCTGCTAAGAGACAGGTGAAGCTTCATTGAGAGCTCCTGGTGTGTTTCATTAGCTGCCGGACATGTCACAGGGTAGCACCCGTGACCTGGCATCACGAGGAGATGCCTCAGGGCTTGGAGGGGGATGTTTTTTGTCATCTCATTCCTTCCCACTCGCAGCGGCCCCCACTACCAGCACTGGAGCAGATTCACGATGTCTTCTGGGCACTGCAAGAGAATGCATCGTGGCATGGCACGGTATTCCCATGATTCCCATGTCGGTGAAGATCCATGCGCATGTCAGGCGTCTGGCGATGATCTTTCTCATCGACAACGCACGGGGACACAGCATTTTTTTTGGTCCGAGGGCGCCAGGGGAAACTCTGAGAGACGGCCGGCCCCAAGGACGGGGGTGAGCTGGAGCTGTTCCCCAATCCCACGGGCTACGACTACAATGAGGCCGAACAGAGACAGGGCCCCTCTTTCTGGGAGGGGTTCCGAGCTGCCTTCAGAAAGCGAGGTGACGCTTCCGCTTTCGAAGAACAAGCTCATCGTCTTTCGTTGCGATGCCCTGGGCTTGAACTACAGCTACCGCCCCAAAGGCCCCTTCTTTTGGCCATGTTGCTTCGAGCCCCCTTGAGCCCCGGTCTTCGCGAAGAGATCTCGCTTGGAGGCAAGCACATGGCGCTGCAGTCTTGGGTCCTGGATGTGCCTTCTGAATGGAAGGACAAGGAGGAGGCCGGCCGCGAAGCATCCCCCGCCCGACAAAGAGAAATCCTAACACCTCTATTCGCCTTTTGAGAGGCCTTGCGGATCCTGGACGGCCCAGAGGAGCCAGAAGGCCGACGTAACAACGTCATGGGGGCCGCTCGGATCTTCTTTTGGTGGGCGGAGGTATGGTATGGGTACCTCAGGGGTAACAACGTGAGGCTGACGGTTCTGATTCTCTTTCTGCTATTCTTGTTGTGACTCTTCCTCTTGGTTACTGTGCATAGTCGTTAATCCTACTACTGGAAGCCGCGGTGGCGAGGACGACCGTCACTCCTTAGCAGTTTCTACTTCGACGCTTTGGTCCTGTTTCGACATGTTTCGACTCGACCGAGGTTTGCACCCGATATCCGGGTCTCGGCTTCGAGGTGCAGGCAGGAGGACATCTCCTCGTGCCTCAGTCTTGGAATCCTCAGTGTGGGACACGGAGCGATTTTCTTTTTTCAGGCGTACTGGAACATGTTAGCCGCCGGCACGGACACGGAGGCTCGGAGACCTGTGACACTCAGAAACGTGCAAACGCGCCAAATTCAGACCCTTCACAGTTCTTCGAAGCCTGAGCATCCCAAGAATCCCTTGATTTCCTGCAAGCCCCAAGGTGAAAATACCCATCCAGCGCTGGGACACGGACATCTACTACAGGCGCCCCGCGCCCGTCGAAGCCGCGCAGTGCCCCCCCTAAACAGGAAAGCCGGGAAAGCCCCCTTTGCCAGGGCGGAGCACACGATCGGCTTCTCAATGACCTGCCATGGAGCGAATCTTCAGCAGGCCCACCGGCTTTTTTTGCGCACACAACTTTTTGGGGGGCCTTGCTTCGGCTTTTTTGGTCCGGGAGCCTGGCTTGCAGTCGGAAATCGAGATGTTCGACAACCAGTTCTTCGGCATCGACAAGAGGGAGGCCTCTCTCTTTTTTCATGCTTCGAAGGCTGCCCCAATCAAGGGGGCCCCACCAAGCGGCGGGCGCAAGTAAGTCCTGGCTCGGAGGCGATAGAGATGGCGCCTTACATGCGAGTCATGTTGGAGGCCCGTCTGGGTTCTGAAGGGTCGGGAGATACCAGGTTTTTCTTTCTTTTTATCCTGAAGCTTGGAGGTGGGCTACGAGGCCCTGCACAATGCCGGGCACCGGCGAAGCGAGCTGAAGAACTGGAAGTGCGGCGTCTTCTGCGGGGATTCCGGCCCCATCCTCAGAAAGAGGGAGCCGCTCTGCACTAAACCCCTAAACCCTAAACCCTCAACCCTCAACCGTCTGTCAGTGCGTTTTTCGGGAGGCTCCGACTGGGATGGCATTCACTACACGATGGGCAAGGACCTGGACCTCAAGCTGGCGGGCAGGCGAAGCTGTTCATGATCCCCGTTGTGTGATCCCCCAGCCCTTCACAGCAAAGTCCTTCAAGTCCCGCATCCCTACCCACATGTGGGTAGTTCTCTAAAAGTAGCGTTCCTTTTTCGGTCCCCAATATAGTACGGCACCCCTATAAAAAAGGACCCTAACAGGGACCCTCATTTAGAAAACTACCCACATCTACGGGATTTAGCTTGGAAGCTCTCTAACTCAACTCTGAGAGGCCCAGCGGCTTGGAAGTCCGGAAGTTCCAAAGGTTCCATAATGGAACTTCTTAGCATTTTCCCAAAAAATATCCCCAAACTGTCTTCGCTCTTTCTCTCTCTCTCTCTCTTTCTCACTTTCTCTTTCTTTCGTACATTCTCAGGGATCCCTGTCAGACGCCTGTAAATTTATTGTTTTGAGTTGTTTTTGGTGCTGTTTGAACTTTATTTTTTTTGGGGGGGAACTTGAGGTTGTTTGAATACTCGTATGTTGTAATGTTCTTGCGTTGGGTTTTTTGAATCTACGTCTTGTGTAAATGCTGCAGATGAATCGGGAATACGGAAGCACATCAGCAGTACAAAACGGAAATCTGGTCTAGCTGACGGAATAGAACGGGCATGAACATGTTTTGTAAGACACTGATCGGAGGTAGGCATGAACGAGTATAGGTAATGGCTGCAGGTAGCCCAACGGCAGCTACGCTTGATTTGGTGTTTCCGAAGACTTCATAAGAAGCAGGAGCTAACCTTTCGTATCAGCGTAAAACGTAGAAAACAGTCATTCACGGTTGAGTTATGCGCAGTGATTGTAGATCTATGTTTACATATCTGCCTGATACTTTTCTTGATGAGCAGTTTCAAGTTTGATCAGCAGCTAGCTTTTCAGCATTATGTTTGTCCGAGAAGAATTTACCTAATCACCAGATTGAACACGTCATGAATGTGTAGCAGTACCCAACATTTAAGGATTGTTGAATTTAAGCAAAACTAGCTAAAAGTAGCATGTGTTTGAACAGCTCATGATTTAATAATGTTCAGTTCATATTCAGGCACTATCGATTTAGTTGATGATTGGTGCTTGACTAATATTGGCTATGCAGCAAAAGCGTTCAACGTATTGGTTCCCACCAAAAATGCATCATACGCATGTTTCCAGTTTAACATCTTCTTCTGTCATATGAATGTTTCCTGTGTATGTCCGCGACTAGTTATCATGTAAGCCGTTGTTTAACACATATCTGGTTAGGATCCAAACCTGATCAGCAGTTCACAGAGTGTGGCATACATGAATGTGTACTTCGTGAGAATTCACGCAGCACTTTTTGGTTGCCCAATATCAGGCCGACATGTGCACAGTTGTTCATGGCAGTTATACTAACTACACATGTGTGTACACCCGATTGGTTTTAGCTAAGCCCAAACCCGAAACCCAGTCTGTCTTGAGGATGAAGGCAATCAAACAATGTCCACATGCTGGATCATCGTGCATTAACCCTGCCGACGCAGTTCGTTGGATTGTGGAAGTGATCTACTAGGAACAGCAATTGTGGAAGACGGAGGATGTTCGAAGTGATTTGTATATGACGTAGATATCAGTTGCCATCCCATGTCATGTCAAAGACTATCTCTGCCAACATTATCTGGTTATCTAGTAATATGGACGGGGTAAGCATCCAACCAGCACTGACAATACCTGCTGTCAAACTTTCGTGTCTTCAAGCATCTCACTATCAAGCAAGTGTTGAGTGTAAAATACAAAGGAGACATGGGTTAAGCACTACAAACACCAGTCGGTAGTTATTCGTTGCATGCTAGGTTAGAACCTGTTACATACTTGGCTACATGTTTCTGCATGCAGCAATCTGGTCTCCGAGAAAGAATTAGGATTTACACGTGGTCGATGATGTTCTAATTTCTGGCATAGTGCCGTTATGTGTAACACTCGCAGGAGAGCATATTAGGGCACAGAAGGCAACATGATAGTGTATTGAATGATAGTAGCTGTGAAACTGGGAAGAAACTTTTTGGCGTACTGTAGTATGACCAACGTACAGGTTGTGGATCAAAGTAACGAATACACACCAAGTATATCGGTGCCTTTTGTTAGAAGAGTATTGAGCCTAAATCCTAAAACCCTAAACCCCGAACCCTAAAGCCCTAAAGCCCTAAACACCCTAAATCCCCTAGAAGCCCTATTTTCCCAAAAAACCCTTAAATCCCTAAACCCTACAACCCTAAACCCGTGAACCCCTAAAATCCCTAAACCCCTGGAGCCCTAAACCCCTAAACCGCTAAAGCCCTAAACCCCTAAAACCTTAAACCCCAAACCTTAAACCCTAAGCCAACAAAACCCTAAAGCCCCCCTAAACCTTAAACCCTAAACCAACAAAAAACCCTAAACCCTGAACCCCCCCAAAGAATGCCCCTAAAGAAGCCGTGCCTTTTTGCAGGGAGCGCTCTGCAGCGGCGAATCGGCTCTCGCACGTCTTCGGTCTCACCGGTCCGACCTCCACGGCCGAGACGGCCTGCCGGGAGCCCCCGAAAGTCCGTTGGGGGAGAGTTGTTAGAGGGGTTTAGGGTTTTAGGTTTTTTGGGGGGTTTCTAGGGTTTTCATAGGGTTTTTTTGGGGGGTGTCTAGGGGTGTTGTTTTAGTGGGGGTTTATATTATGGGTTTATACTGGGGGTTTTATATCTGAGGTCTTTTGGTTTTTTTTTAAAGGTTGTTTTTGGGGGGTGTTCATAGGGGTTTCGAGGGTAGGGCTTTCTTAGGGGTTTGTCTAGGGGTTTCTAAGGGTTTGGGGTTTGAGAGATTTTGGGGTCTAGGGCTTTTTGGGTTCAGGGTTTTTGGGATTTCTCGGGGGTTTAGGGTTTAGGGTTTTAGACGCTTTGTTGCTGAAGAGAGCTTTCTAGCGGCCCAGGCTCGTCCAGCCTGGTTGCTACGGGCATTGCGCAGATGACGATGAGGCCGAGGGTCGGCCTTTGGGGCTTCTGCAAAGTAGGGCCAAGTAGGGCTTATACTGGCTAGAGTTTAGGGTTTAGGGTTGCAAGCTCAAAGCTTGGCATGCTCGCAGACACCTCCGGGTTTCGAGCACCTTTCTCGGTCCAAGTCAGCAGAAAAAGGATCGGCGCGTGCTGCAGCCTCCGTGTGCTACTTCGCTTGCATGGTAGTGGAGCCGCCTGTCACCAGAGGGCGAC